TTAGGTGAAAAGTGGAAGGGGAACATCATGGGTCAGCCTGGCAACAACTGAACACAGTGATCAATCTTAATGTTACAGAGAAGGAGAGTATAGCTCAAGTGGTAGAGTGCATGCTTAGCATGCATGGGTCCTAGGTTCAATTCCCAATACCTCCATTAAAGGAAAAAAAAATTAAATAAATAAACCTAGTAACCACCCCCCCACCAAAAAATCTTAACGTTGCAGAGATAACTGAACCTCGTATGTATACTCCAGATGGAAGTGTACACCACCACCTATGAGGTGTCCTAGGTAAAATTTTGAACCTCAATCTGATCAGCACTCTAGATCATGCGAAGTACAGAGTAAGTACGGGACTATAATCAGTGAAACTCAGAATATGGAAAAAACAACAGGAAACATGGGCCCAGTGTCCTCAATAAATTTAAAGGGGAGAAAAAAGCTAAACTTACAGATTAAAATAGCCTGGGTCCTTCTGAAAGTGTGAATATTTTATGTGGGAGTGTGAACCCAGAGATTAAGGAAGTAAAAACAGAGAAGGGAAAAGAGCAAGGACAGGTTATGGATCAGGAAACTGCTCGATCCTATGGGACCTTCTGAGGAGCCATATGAAATGCATCTCAGAAACATAGGAGAGAAAAAGGGACGTATTTATTGGATCATATTTCCCACTGGTCCAAGTTTTCTCCCAGGGCATTAACTTGCCCTTCTGCTTTTTGTCCATGCATGAAGAACAAGCTGTTCCCTACACTGTGAACAGAGCCGCAGGTACAGGCGGGGAAAGGCATGAAGCGTGGCCTGAGGGCCTGGCCCTGTCAGCTCGCACTTGTGTAAAGCTGGCTGGAGTCCCCACAGAACTGGCTAGTGCAGCTGTGTCTGAAATAAGGGATGGATGATCCAAGAGGATCCGAAATGGTACACAAGGGGTATCCCAAACAGGGACATTTATCAAAATGCAAAATGTGGACCTTGTTTGGCTCCTGATCCTAACCAATTATGAACATATTTGAGACAATTAGGGAAATTTGAACGCTGGGCATTATTATTTTTTAAGATATTAGAATAATACAGCAGTATTTTTAAAGTATCTATTTTTTTACAGGTACATAGTAAAATATTAAAAATATTAAATATTAATGGAAAAAAACTGATGTAACTACAAGGAGAAATGGCCCAAATCACCAGATGAAAGCTTTTAACACTCCTCTTTCAATAATTGCTGGATCAGACAACCAGTAGCACTTATAGAAGATCTGAACAATTAACAAGCTTATTACAATGCACATATAAAGAATATTCTTTTCAAGCACATATGGAACATATCCAAAAGTTGACCATGTACTAGGCTTAATGCACATCTCAAACAATTTCAAACAATAGGAGTCATTCAGACCACATTCTCTGACCACAATGCAATTAATTTAGAAATCAATAACAAAGGTAAGTTTAAAAAATACAGTATATTTGGAAAATTTCAAAACATCTATGTAAGTCACACATCAAAAAAGAAATCCTAATGGAAAATACAAGTCAGAAATGTCTAATGATGAAAGCACTAGATAACAAAACCTGTGAGATACAAATGAAGCAATAATTAGATGGAAATTTGTAGCCTTAAATATATATATAGGACAAGAATAAATACTGAAGCAATTTACAGTAGCTAAGACATGGAAACAACCTAAATGTCCATCAATAAATGACTGGATAAAGAAGTTGTATATTTATACAATGGAATACTACTCTGCCATAAAAAAGAATAAAATAATGCCATTTGCAGCAACATGGATGGACCTGAAGATTGTCCTTCTAAGTGAAGTAAGCCAGAAAGAGAAAAAAAAATACCATATGATGTCACTTATATGTGGAATCTTTAAAAAAAGACAGATGAACTTATATACAAAACAGAAACAGACTCACAGACACAGAAAACAAATTTTTGATTACCAAGGGGGAAATGGGGTTGGAAGAGATAAATTGGGAGTTTGAGATTTGCAGATACTAACTACTACATATAAAATAAATACACAAGCTTCTTCTGTATAGCACAGGGATTTATATTTAATATAGTAAACTATAATGAAAAAGAATATGAAAATGAACATATGTGTGTACGTGTATAACTGAAACATTATGCTGTACACCAGAAATTGATACAAGATTGTAAACTGACTAGACTACAACTAAAAAAAAGAATAAATGCTAAAAACCACTAAGCTAAAAAATATATACAAGACAACTAGATCCCATTCTCCCCTTTTCTGAGAGCTTTTAAAATTGTAATTATCATATTCTACCCTCATCATTGTAATACTGGGTATTTTGGGGTGGGGGAGAAGCAACTTTCTGGTCTTTTAGTTATCAACTGCCAAACTTCAGAGTGAATGACAGAGAAGACTTCAAGCCAGTCGCAGTAGCTGGCTGAGACTCTGGGGTTGCCTTCCTTAGGGGTCTGATGATGCATTCAGTGTAAAATGCCTGCATTGGAAAGAAGGGTGTGTATGGGTATTACACAGTTCAGGGGGTGAGCTGGGGCAGACACTATAGATGGACTAACCAAACACACAGTCTCCTTGACCACCTTTGTCATAGAGCCTGGGAAACCTTAGTCCTGTACTTGTTTTCCCAGCCTCCTTTATACAACTACGGATGACCATGAAACATAGTTCTGGTCAATGACACAAAAGTGAAAAATTTTTATAAGGGCTAAACTCTAGGAAAACTTTCTTACTTGATAAAATGAATAACTGATGTTGGTTGCTATCTTTCTTTCTTCTTTGCATTTGGATATAATTTCAGGAGTTTGTGCAACTATGGGGAAAATGCCCTGAATCAATGGCAGCAATAACTTACCCCAACACTTGTTTAGAATAACAGCAACAACAAAAACCCTGTTTAATTAAGCCACTGTTACTTGGATTATTCTGTTCTTTGCAGGAGAACACATTCCTAACTTACACATCACTGCAAAATGCTGATAATTCTCATTTTATAAGGAAGAAATATGTAAAACGTCTAACACTTGACAAGGCAAGTGTCTCTCTTTCATGTCCCTCTGTCCATCACATTTCCTAGATCAATTTAGATACCTTTGGGAATAAATTATAGTCCAATTATACTTTAAAAAGTTAAAGCAGAGGTCAAAACCATATACAGCATTCTAATTAGCAAAGGTGTCAGTTTTCTTCAAGTTTAGGATAACATTTTCTATTTTATTTCGTAGTCTAAAGTTTTTGTTAATGTCTTTGGACAGAACAGTTTATTGCTCCAGCAGCTTCCCGGAAGAGCCCACAATTGCACTAAGCCTATTTTAATTATTTCCCTCTAGATTCATTAACTTGTACTTGGCTACACAGACAGTCCTCTGCCACTTTTCTGTAAGTTCGCCTAGCCTGGCATTTTATTAGTGCAGCAGCTATTAGTTAAAAACAGGGCTAGTTGTTCATAAAAAGATTAAAAACTGGCAGCAGCAGCCACAGGTGTGATTGGAGAAAGTACTGAGTGGGGCTCTTACCCTAAAATAACCCCATTTCAGGGTCATTCCTCTACCTTTACCTGACCGTAAGGGCTTTTTAACCTTCAAAAGTCTCCATAAATTGCAAATGTGTCTGGAAATCGTCAAAGTTTATTGGCGAAGGTTGAGTACTGAGGTAACACTTTGGTGGAGAGTAAGTAATGAAAAAGTAGTGTCAAATTGGGAGTGAGACCTGCCTGCCTGCCTGTGTAGGAAGACCGACTCTAGATGGGAAAAAAGGGCACTGAAAAGGGGGGCACCTACACAATCTGCCTATATCATATTTTGCCTTTGGGTCCTTAACTATCCAGGGAAGTATTTCTGAAACAAAGTATTGGAATTGAAAGAATTATTTTTCTTACCGTTTGCCGATTCTCCCTCCCAGGTAAGTTTTAGGCGGCGCTCAAGATGATTTCTAGAGAGCCTCATAGTTTGACTTCTGTATAATGATAGATTTCCTGTCTCTTTTCCAGGTTGCTAAACCAAATTACCAAACGCATGGTAATTCAACTTTAAAAAGGATTTTGTGGCGAATATTTCCAAAGGTGGTTTTTTTTTAAATCTTAACTAGATTGTTTCTACTTGTTCCCTCTTGAACCTGCTGTTGACTTTCTTTGAAGGATATGTTGCTATAGTGACAACAGAACTGGATGCAGATACTCAGCACTACAGATTTTACATCAGTTTTTTTAAACGCCAATACTGAAAACACAGCTGGCGATTACGAGGCAGGCCTCAAACTATCCAGAACCTTCTCGCAACCAGCGAAAACGCTGCACGAAGAATTAAGCCATATTCTGTGCGTCCATCATATGCAAGGCATTGCACTCCCTTGGCAATCGTTATCTGACAAGGAGACCTACCAGACCAGGGAGAAGGGGTGACAGGGGCAAGGCGTGCGGAGGGTGGTAAACAGCACGTCATGCGCGGCGAGCATGAACTTGGAGACCTGGTTTCTGGCGCTCTGCGTGGGCGGCCAGGTGGAAGCGCGCGCCCCGCGCGGTCACCGCGGTCCGCCTGCCCGGCCAA